CAGGGCTGAGTGATGAGGACCAGGGCTGAGTGATGAGGAACAGGGCTGAGTGATGAGGACCAGGGCTCAGTGATCAGAACCAGGGCTGAGTGATGAGGACCAGGGCCGAGTAATGAGGACCAGGGCCGAGTGATCAGGTCCAGGGCTGAGTGATCAGAACCAGGGCTGAGTTATCAGGTTCAGGGGTAAAAACAGGAGTAGAACTCAGTGATGAAGACTAAGGCTCAGTGATCAAGGATAGAATTGCGTGATCAGAAACAGGACCCAAGCAGTAGGACCAGAGCTCAGTGATCAGTAAAAGGGCCCACTAGTCAGGAACAGGGCCCTGTGATCAGGGTGAGGACCCAGTGAGGAGGACCAGGGCTGTCCAGGTTGTGAGGAACAGGGTTCCCATACAGTCCTTGGGAATGGGTTTCTTTGCCACCGTCTCTGGTGAATCCAGCATTCATCCTTGGGCCACAGCCTCATGCAAGATCAGGTTCTTTCTTGATTTTGGGACCAGAGGTACCCTCTGTCCATGCCCACCATGCCCACCATGACACCCAGGGGGACTTTGAAGCAGGAGTCCTCCAGGCTACAGCCACCACCCTTCCCCTGACCCCTGTCTCCTCATTCAGAGTTTGTGAACGTTTTCCTTGGGGCCACTTTATTGCACCTGGAAGGCATGTGAGTAGGGGTGGGTCGGTGGCTTCTGAAAGGGCTGAGTTCTGGCATGCCTGGCTTCTCCAAGAGGTTCCTCCACACTTCCTCCCTGCAAAGACAGAGGGTCACAGCCTGAAGGAGCAGCAGCCAATGCCCTCTGTCCCAGCCCTTGTCCTCATCACTCACCCTCCATCCACCCATCCATCATCCATCCTGGCTCAGGGGAGCCTGGACTGAATCTGGGTTACTGCACTGGAGTGAAGCTCAGTCCTGACCCTGGGCCTGCCTGTGTCCTGTGTCTGTGAAGGCCCCCCCCAGGAGAGCATGACCCCCCACAGCAGGAGCCCGCAGTGCTTGCTCTGCCTGCTACAGATGCTATCTACAGCATGTATACCTGTGCTCTGCTGGCTGCTGCTCAGAACTGGGGGACCTCCCTGCTGCTGGACGGGCCCCGGATGCTGGTCACGGTCAGTGCTGTGCTGTAGAACAGGCTCAGCAGGAAGAGGGTGAGGAAGGTGACGGTGGTGGGCCACAGGCTGGCGCCAGGGGTCTCCTCCTCCAGGCTCTCCTGCAGTGGGTCCAGCTCCACACAGGGAGGCAGCGTCTGCCAATCTGCAACACAGTGAGGGCCTGCCTAGCCCAGGCTCATGTGAACAGGGGCTATGCTTCCTTGGGGTCTGGGGACAGTGGGGTCTGGGTCCCCATCTCAGGCCTGAGACTCCCCCAGGGAAGATGAGGAGGCAGGGTCCCAGGTGAGGGGCTGAGACCTTCTGTCTTTGAGGTTCTCAGGACACCTCAGGGAGAGACTTGGCAGAGAGTGGGCGCCATCTGCTCCTTCAAGGGGAGCTTGAGCCCAAGGTACCTGCCCCCCAACCCCCAGTCTCAGTCTCAGCCACATATTCAGTGACTGGGTCCCAGGGCCAGAGAGGATCAGACACACGCAACCTTAAGGAGATCTGGGTCCAAGACAGAGACCTGAGCCCGACACTCAGTGTGCCAAAGGTTGAATGGGCAAGACCAGAGACCTCTGTTGCCTTCCCAGGGAATGTGGTTGAGGGGTTACAAGGGAGGGCCAGGCGAGGGCCACCAGCACAGGCATCCTTATTTTCCTCAGGGTCTCAGGGCATAGAGACCACCTAGAGTTGTACCTGCTTGTCATATGCTGATGCATCCAATCATTCACCTCTCTTTCTATCTTTCCATCCATCTATCCAGCCACCCAACTGTAAACTACTATCCATATATCCACTCCTCCATTTATAACACTCTTACCCACTCACCCATCCATTCATCCATTAACAGAAGGCTATCATTCAAATATCCATCCCTATGTCTATCCATAAAGCAATTATCCATCCATTTGTCTTCCTTCTACCTATCCTCCATACATACATTCACCCATCCATCTTTCCTCAACCCTCCCTCCATCCATCCATCCTCTATCCACTCGCGTATCATTCATCCACCCACCCATCCACTATCCATCCATCCTCCATCCATCCATCCTCCATCTGCCCATCCATCCTCCATCTACCTATCCATCATCCATCCATCCATCCATGCTCTATTCATCCATGCTCCATCCACCCATCCACCATCCATCCATCATCCATCCATCCATCATCCATCCATCCATCCTTCATCTGCCCATCCATCCTTCATCTACCTATCCATCATCCATCCATCCTTTATTCATCCATGCTCCATCCACCCATCCATCATCCATCCATCCATCCACCCATCCATCCCTCCATCCATCCTCCATCCACCCATCCATCATCCCTCCATCCATCTTCCATCCACCCATCCTTCATCTGCCCACCCATCCTTCATCTACCTATCCATCATCCATCCATCCATCCATCCTCTATTCATCCATGCTCCATCCACCCATCCATCCTTCATCCACCCATCCATCCACCCATCATCCATCCATCCATCCACCCATCCATATCCATCCATTCATCCACCCATCATCCATCCACCCGTCCATCCTCCATTCATCTATCCTCCATCCACCTGTCCATTATCCATCCATCCACCCATCCTTCATCCACTCACCCATCCATCATCCATTCACCCATCCATCCTCCATCCTTCATTCATCCATCCTCCATCCACCCATCCATCCATTTTACCACCATCCATCATCCATCCATCCATCCATCCTCCATCCATTATCCATCCATCCATCCATCGACCCATCCATCATCCATCGACCCATCCATCATCCATCCATCCATCCATCCATCCACCCATCCATCCTCCATCCTTCATACATGCATCCTCCATCCACCCATCCTTCATCCATCCACCCATCCATTTTACCACCCATCCATCCTCCATCCACCAACCCACCCATCATCCACCCATCCACCCATCCTCCATCCAGTCATTTACCCACCCATCCATTTTAGCACCAATCCATCCTCCATTCACCCATCCATTCAACATATGTCCTAGGATCCACCCACGTGTCTGCCTGCTCTCTGCTGGTTCAGCCCCTCATCTGTTGATTCTCCCTCTTTCCCCTTCTCTTTAAAAGCCCCTCCTCTGGGCCAGGTCCTGGGTCCCATGGGCTGGAGGGCTTCTTGGTGGCAGGGCTTCCCTGAGTGACCTGTTGTTCTCAATTGCCCTCTGGTGACTGGACCCTCAAGGGTGATGGTGGCCTCTTGAGGGTCCAGTCACCAGAGGGTTCAGTCACTTCACCTCGGCCCTGAGAACAGAGGCAGGCAGCCAGAAGGCGGGTCCTCTGGGGAGGCCCGGAATGCATCTAAGGCCAGAGCAGGGCCCCCGCTGCCCCCTTGTGGGAGTCCTGGTGCCAGGTGTCCTTGCAGCAGTTGTGACTGTTCTTCCTCCTGGGAGCCCCAAGCAGATCCCAGAGACGTGCAGAGGGGCCAGGCTAGCCCTGTTTCACTGGCCTGCTCTGATGCTGCCCCATGTGGCCCCTCCCTGTCTATGCTTTGGGTCCTACCTGGGCTCAGGAAGGGATGGGAGAGAGGAGTTTGGGGCCAGGCAGGGAGCAGGGGCTGCCTGAGTCTGGGGAGTTAGCCCCTGATCTGTGCACAGTGGAAACATGGGGAGTCTGAGGGGCTGGGCAGTGGCTGGGCCTGGGAATGCCTGCTGGGGGCTTGGGAGGGGCTCCCCCAGCCTTTCTGGAGCTGGGTCTGGGCTGTGTACTTGCTGTTCCTGCAGGGCTCAGGTGTGTGTGTGAGTGTGAGAGTGTCCATGTGCCCGTGTACCCTGTACAGAGCAGTGTGGAGGCGGCAGGTGCCCCTTTCCACATGAGTCGTGGGGCCAACCTGAGGCCAACCCACTAGGGTGGTGGGGCTCTCCTGGAGCTTGTCCTCCTCCCAGTGGGTCCTGGAGCCCAGCCCCTCACTCCCTTGCCATTCCTCCCACTACCTGCCCTAGGCACCAGCCTCTTTCTCTGCCAGCCTGCTCCTCTCACCCTCCCGATTCCCTCCCAGCTGCAGCCACAGACGGCTCTCTCAGGGACAAACGGCCATGCCACTGCCCACTTGGAACTCTCTGGGGCAGCCGAGTCTCTCGGAACCCATCCTGGGCTGTGCCTGCCTTGGCAGACCTGATTTCACCCCAGCGAGGCCTCCTGCACCACACACTCACACTCACACTCACACCAGGTGGAAGGGCTCTCGGGGGTGCCAGGGGCCCCTGAGGCTCGGGCAGGGGGTGCTCTTCCCTCCCTGTGACCTGGCCCTTTCCCACATGCTGAGATCCTGAGTCTGGACAGACAGGCGCCGGATGGAAGCGTGGGGCTGCTTGGGGGAGCATGGAGTTTATTCGGGGGTAGGGACAGATGGGCTCAGTAGCAGACGCCGTCCACCTCCGCCATGACCACAGACACATTGACGTGAGTGGGTTTACCCGCCAGGCGGTCGATGGTCTTCTGCGTGAAGGCCAGCGGCAGGGCCTCATGGCCCACCATGCAGGAGAAGGTGTCGCCCTTGTTCCAGGCCTCGGCCGGCACGCGCAGCACGCTGGTCACGGCGAAGGTGGTGGTGTCCTGGCTGGGCTCTTGCCGGGATGTCCAAGTCAGGTACTTCTCTCGGGGCAGCTCCTGGGACCCCTGCAGCCAGCGAACCAGCACTTCCTTGGGGCTGAAGCCCCGTGCCAGGCACGTCAGCGTCACCAGCTCGTTCAGGGCCAGCTCCTCCGACGGCGGCGGCAGCAGGTGGACCTGGGGCCGGAAGCTGTTTCCTGGAGGGTAGAGAGCCAGGTCAGGGGGCTGGACAGGGGGTGAGGGAGACCCCCTGCTCTGATGGCACCCCGGGCTGTGTCCTGGTCCCCCTCAGCCTGCTTCAGTTTCCCTCTGTACTCAGCATGAGCAACCTGAGCCCAGGATGGTGAGGGGGGAGGCAGCCCAGGAAGATGCTTTGCAAACTAGAGCACGAGCAGGGCCCCAAGCTGGGTTCGGGCCCACCTGGTTTTGTGATGGTGGCGGTCAGCGGGGTTTTGGCCTCGGGGTAGGCAGCTGTGCACGTGAAGGTCTCCCCACGGTTCCACGGATCGGCACAGCCAGGCAGGACGCTGGACACCCTGTAGCAGCCACAGAGGTCACGCTCATGTTTCCCCTGGACAGCGGTCTTCCCACTGGAGGACTTCCAGGTGAAGGTGACGTCCGAGGCATTGGTCAGGCCGGTCAGTGTGCACGTGAGGTTCGCTTCTGAACCCAGGAGCAGGTCCTCGAGGGCTGGCCGGTGCAGTGACAGTCGGGGCTCGCAGCACGAGCGACATGGTTGTTGGCAAGGAACTGCTGTGGAGAGATGGCCTGAGCCGGCAGCACGCCCCTCCCCGTGCCCCCGCCCTGCCCCTCCTGGCCTGTCGACCCCCCACCCCCGGGGCTTTGCCAGCAGTCCACTCTGGTGTGAGTGAAGGGGCGGCTCCCTGTGGGGAACACGGGCCTAGGCGCTGTGTCAGGGCAGGGTAGGGTGGCCCCGCCCCGCTCCCCAGCCTGCCCTCTGACCTCTGCAGGGCACGGTCACATCCTGGCTGTTGAATGTGTAGTGCTTCACGCTGCATTTCAGGGAGCTGGTGTCTGGGCACTGCGCGGCTGGCAGGGTCAGTTGGCTGCTCATGGTGTACAGGCCCCCGGCGGCCGCCTGGCTGGGCGGGAAGTTTGTGGTGGTCCCCTTTTGGCTCCAGGTCACACTGAGCGGCTCCTGGGGGAAGAAGCTCCGAACCAGGCAGGCGACGACCATGTTTCCGTCTGGCTGCTGCTGGCAGGCGAGGCCCAGTGGGAAGACCTGGGGCTGGGTCGGGGATTCTGGAACACATGGTGCGCCGTGAGGGTGCAGCCCTCCTACCGTGTCCTAGGAGCACAGGCTGTGCTGGCCTTTCCTCTACACTGGAGGAGCCTGGCACAGAGAGGCCCCGTGATGGCCCTGAGGTCACACAGCTCTGGCACCACGGGCCTGCGATGGGACCCGGTTGTCTGATCCCAGCGATGTGGCTTCTGAACACACACCTCAGATACGGCCCTGACCCAGGCCATCCCTGACACCAGCTGTGTTAAACAGGGCTCTGTCACATAGCGGCCGAGTCCCCCGGGCCCCCTGAGCCCCCGACCTCAGCGCCTGCTCTGGCTGGGGGACATGCCTTGCTCTCTCCCCTGCAGCTAGAGAGGATCTTGGTGGGGGCTGTGAGGAGGGGTCCTGGGCTCTGAGTGCTGCTTGGATGGGTTAGGGCGT